GTAACTATTAAATAAATGAATTTTTATGGATTAAAAATAATATAATAAATGTTAACAATTACTTAATATAAAATATATTTAAAATAAATTTTAAATAAATTTTATGGTTAAAAAATAAATTAATAAAAATAAATTAATAACTGAAAATACCCTAATAAAATATTGATCCTTGAAATTACTAAAAAAATTGAATTTTTGTGAATTAGAATTAAGAATAGAAAATAAATACAAATATCTACTTAATATAAAGCACAAAATATAAATATTTCAATAAACTTAAAATTAATTATGTGGGTTAAATGTTAGAAAAAATGATCTGAACGATTACGAAAATTTTTACCATAATGATTATCATTTTTATAAGAAAATATTTTTATAATAATCTTTTTTATACTTTTTCTTTTCTTAAAACTTTAATTTATCAAAGAATAAACGTAATTCAATTTTGTTTCTTAGCTTCTTAATACACTCGACTCGTATAATATGTATGCATTTATATGGAAAGTAAATGGTGTAATCTATGCGGAAGGCACATGGTGACGTTTGCCCATTCTATCTAAATAATTATAAATTTTGATGAGTTCGCAGTTCACGGCTGCGAACAATGCTGGAGTAAAATTGGAAAGGAAAGAAAATATACGACAGTCCTGTCGGAGTGATCATAACAGAAAAAGCTGAATGATTAAGACTTTGATGGTGAAAAAATAATAAAAAAAGAAAAAGATAAAGAAGAAACAGTGTTCACGATTTATGGATAATTTTTCGAATTATTTTGCGGGGATTTCCATCGAAAATTGAAATTGGATTACGTAATTATTACATTTTAATCACAGGTGAGACTCATTAGTCGTTCACTGTATTATTTGTTCTCCTCATTAACAATGTTTAAACAGATAGATAAGTAAAACAGTAAAAATAAAAGAAAAATAAAAAGGATAGAGAATGAGAAATGATTACTCTGCCATGTCATTATTTAAAATCTACATAAATTATTCACTCTTAATTGTCAATTCGTATTGAATAAAAATTAAATCATATTGAATTTATTATTGTGAAACAATGAAAAAGATAAAAAATGTGTCACATTTGTATATTTTTTGATAAAACTTCAAGGTAAAACATCTTTTTAGGAGCGTAGATACAAAATTTCGATGTAAGAAAAAAGAAAAAAAAGAGGAAACGTACTATGTAACGTTTTCTACCGATCGATAGATCGATACAGTATTTGTATTGAATCATATATATATATATTCATTATTATCTCAAACAATTTCTATTCATCGATTTATAATAGAAAGAGAAAGATAATAGAGAGGAAGAAAATGTCGAATAAAAGTTATTTCTAAAGAGTAATTAAAAAAAAGTGATACATAACATATCTTGAAAAATTGAAGTAGATAAAGTGAATAAAAAAATATTTCGAATAACAATTACTTGTTTTTTATTTTTTTATTTTTTTCTTTTCTTTTCACGTAGAATACGTTGTTATTATATTCCAATAAAAAAAAAAAATTTTAGCTTTTTATGATAATAAGAAGATCGTTACTTCATTGATTCAGATTATTGACATATTTGACAAATATCAAATTATATATTCTAATTAATTTTTATTCTCTTTTATTATTTTCAAGATTAGAAGATATATAAAAAAAGAAGAAAGATAAGAATAGAAATTGTTAGCAAATTGAACAGAGATTACAAATTGGAAATTTAAATTAATGTATTATTTTTTTGTTATTTCCAATAAGAAATTTACGAAACAAAAAAAAAGATAAAAATATTAAAACAGAAAATTTTTAAGTCACATTAATAAATAACTTCGCTATAAATAAATAATGATCTATTTAAAGTGAAGTAAAAAAAAGATATGTAGATATAGAATATTGGAAAAGAAATACATGACCTATCTGGAGAGAAGGTGACCTTAAAATGATTTTAAAATTTTTCAATAAATGAAAACAATAAATGCCATTAATATTCCCCCACGAAATCGGATAATTCTTGTCTGAATTATTTTTTCTCAAAAATATCGTCTTTCCTAGATATGAGAAATTTGTAAAACTTCGTTTTAAACACCCGGTATATAATTTGTGGATAAGAATATGTAAGACGAATGTCAAGATGCGAGGTAATGTTTCTTGCCTATACTTCCTTCTTTCTTTTATATAAACATATATACTTACATATATATATATATATATATATATATATATATATATAAACATATATATATATATACATATAAATATATATATTATTTATCGTTTTCTACTTCTTTACGATACGAGTCGTGATCTTGCCTACTTTCCCTTTCAAAGTCCGTCGCGCGATCCGATCGAAACGTGTTCGAGAATAGATCATTGCCGAGTAGCGATGGGACTAATTCCATTTTCTAGCTTTTGAAATTTTAGATCAAGAACAAACAAATCTTATTTGTGAGACGATAAATGAACAAATGCTTATTTGTTACGAAAGCAAACAACATCAGCAACTAACTATACAACAACTATACAACAACAACAACAATATTAATAATAATAATAATAATAATAATAATAATAATAATAATAATAATAATAATAATAATAATAATAATAATAATAATAATAATAATAATAATAATAATAATAAAAATAATAATAATAAAAATAATAATAATAATAATAATAATAATAATAATAATAATAATAATAATAATAATAATAATAATAATAATAATAATAATAATAATAATAATAATAATAATAATAATAATAATAATAATAATAATAATAATAATAATAATAATAATAATAATAATAATAATAATAATAATAATAATAATAATAATAATAATAATAATAATAATAATAATAATAATAATAATAATAATAATAATAATAATAATAATAATAATAATAATAATAATAATAATAATAATAATAATAATAATAATAATAATAATAATAATAATAATAATAATAATAATAATAATAATAATAATAATAATAATAATAATAATAATAATAATAATAATAATAATAATAATAATAATAATAATAATAATAATAATAATAATAATAATAATAATAATAATAATAATAATAATAATAATAATAATAATAATAATAATAATAATAATAATAATAATAATAATAATAATAATAATAATAATAATAATAATAATAATAATAATAATAATAATAATAATAATAATAATAATAATAATAATAATAATAATAATAATAATAATAATAATAATAATAATAATAATAATAATAATAATAATAATAATAATAATAATAATAATAATAATAATAATAATAATAATAATAATAATAATAATAATAATAATAATAATAATAATAATAATAATAATAATAATAATAATAATAATAATAATAATAATAATAATAATAATAATAATAATAATAATAATAATAATAATAATAATAATAATAATAATAATAATAATAATAATAATAATAATAATAATAATAATAATAATAATAATAATAATAATAATAATAATAATAATAATAATAATAATAATAATAATAATAATAATAATAATAATAATAATAATAATAATAATAATAATAATAATAATAATAATAATAATAATAATAATAATAATAATAATAATAATAATAATAATAATAATAATAATAATAATAATAATAATAATAATAATAATAATAATAATAATAATAATAATAATAATAATAATAATAATAATAATAATAATAATAATAATAATAATAATAATAATAATAATAATAATAATAATAATAATATATATATGATGGATTTAATAAAAATAAAAAATTTTAGAATTTAAATATTTAAAAAAAAAAAAGAATTATCATTTTTATGATATATATAATAGCGTCTGACGTTTAATAGAAAAAATAGTTATATAAAAAAAGTAAACCATATAAAAAAAATTACATAATATATTCTTATCGATAAATAAATATTGTTTAATATTTATTTGTATTGATTATTGAATTATAAATATTTTACGATAAATATTATTTTTTATTCTTTTTTTTTATATAAACACCCAAAAAATATCTTTCATTTGACAATAGAAGTTATAGTGGTACGAGATAATAATTATGTACAATAATTTATATGAAAAACGACAAAATATTTCGATTGATAAATAAATATTATTTAATATTTATTAATCACGAATTACAAATACAACGATAAATTTGATTTTTTAATCATACAAAATTTTAAATTTAAATAATGTAAAAAAAGATATTTTCCGGTTTCAATAGAGTATTACAATTGATTGAAATAGTTGTGCAAGCTAATTTATATGAAATATCGATAAATAACTGTTATGCAATATAAATATATACACATACACACACACAGTCAAACATAAAGAGCTATGAATACAATAACTATTATACGTGTTATATTTGCAAGAGTATTATTCCCATCGCTAGTCTTTGAATGCTAGCTTCTTTGAGTCCATCGAGAATTCTTTCTAGATTCGATACAAATCATACCTTCTTTTCGTTTTATATCCTTATATCGCGTCATGAGTATCCGAATCCAATAAATAAACAGTAGGCTGGTCGGGGTCGAAAATAAAAAGAGAAATACCAAAAAAAAAAAACAGTAGAAGAAATAAAAGGAGTACAAAAAAATATATCTAAACAAAATATAACGTTAGGAATAAGTTGCAAAATTAAATTGATCCATCTAATTATCTATCTATTTATCTATTTAATCGTATTGAAGTTAAATTCTATTTAAAGATTATCTAACGTAAAAAAAAGTAAGATAAAATAAAGTAATGAAAAAAAAAAATATTAAGAAATTTATATTCATTAATTATGTTACTTCTTTGTCATTATCTTACAATTAACCTTTAATTAGAAATCAAACAAAATTGAAAAAAATTACAAAAAAAAAGAAAAAAGAAAAATATTTTTTATTTATTTATTTTTTTTTATTTTATTATCATCATTGATACCATTGATGTTTCTAATTTCAACTTGTGCAGGCTCAGAAAAAGAATATAAATAAATAGGGATAAGAAGATTCGTATTAATCTGAAGATCATGGCGAACGTTTATACAAGAATTGAGGTAGAACGTCACAACAAAAAAGAGGACTTATGGTTGGTGATACATGGTGGAGTTTACGATCTAACAGATTTTGTAAAGAAACATCCTGGTGGAGAGGAAGTATTGATAAACTTGGCTGGACAAGATGGTACCGTGTGCTTCGATGACATCGGACATAGCGGGGAAGCCATATTGCTTAAGGAGACATTCAAAATAGGCCAGATAGTGAACAACGATAATGCTACGACCACCATCTCGACCTCCGACCCGATTCAAGGTAGTATCATTAAAGAAAATTCCAATTTTAAATCAATAGACATCTGAACGATCAAAAAAAAAGATATTTCCTTTTGATCTTTTGATTAAATGATAAGATATTTTTTTGCTAATCCTTTGTATTCTCTATTTATATGAATTTTCTTTGAAAATGATAACAATTTTTCTAGAATAGGAAAATTATTTTTAATAAAGAGAACAAATAGTTTTTCGAAGATGAAACGAATTTGTTTAGGTGGACAAAAAGTATTTTTTATAATGAAGACGAATTTCTTGTTCTATAGAAAAATACGTTTCAATATGAGAATTCGGTTTTTTTTATTTCTTAAATACAAAGAACACTTTCATTTTCTTTATTAAATATCATGAAAAATAAAAAAATATTACAAAAATTACATTTATTTTCACGAGGAAATGTATATCTGGAAAAAAAGAAGAATATTTGTTTCATTTTTTAGAAATTTAATTTTCTTTTTTTCTTTTCTTCTATATCTAGAATTAAAATTATCTATGGAAATATTTAATCTATGGAAATATCTAATTTATTAATCTATGGAAATACCTTATTTATTAATTCATGGAAATACCTAACATAACTTTCTCGTACTTGTTTTCTTTGTCTTTTTATCTTCCTTTCAAATTTTAGCAATGACAAAACCGACTATCGTAGATGATGGCAATTGGGAATATCAAGAAGTAAAGAAAGAAGAAAATAACAAGACAATATCGATTGTGGTCGCCGCAGGTATTCTTATCTACGGTATCTTATTTTATTATTATGTTTTTTACTAGAATTAGAAACAACAGAGGATTCCTACATATATAATTTTTAATCGCTTATGTACTTCAATGATATAATACATACATCAATGATATAAATGTTAGGATATGGACTACATATATATATATATATATATATATATATATATATATATATATATATACACACATAAGATTGTGTGTTATATAACAAAGGAAAAAAGAAAATAACGATTTGTCAATAAACAAGTTCTCCATTCCCTCCACCGATTTGTTATTTCCATTTTTTTAAATAATTATCTGTTGGTCATATGGACCTTGAACATCAAAAAAATAGCTAATTATTTTCATTTTTTCTTTTTTTGTACTTTAGCGCCGGTAACAAAGTTAATATTGAATTCTCTTTAAGTATGGAAATTATCTCTCTCTCTCACTCTTTCTCTCTCTCTCTCTCTCTCTCTCTCTCTCTCTCTCTCTATCTCTCTCTCTCTCTCTTTCCCTCTCTCTCCCTCTCTTTTTTTTACATGTATATAAAAGATAACCCACATAGGAACACACGCGTTCATATACGTTTCCGATGAGTATACGATGCACACACGACATGCATGTGAATACATATATGACTAAAATGACTAAGTATTTTTCAAGTACATTTGTAATAACGATAAGCATAATCGTATTAAATATTGCATATATTCGACAACAATAATCATTGACTGTATGCTCTATATATTTTGTTCTTATTTGCAAACCTCCTTTTTTATTTTAATTGAAAAATATTAGTTTAATTATAATCTTTAGATAATAATTAGTTTCATTAAAGTTACAATCCAATTGATATATAAACGAAATCCTGATCGGAAATGTATCTTTAGATACGCATATCATTTAGTAGATATAAGATTATTTTACAAAATTCCAAGAAAACAATATTTTCACTGATTCTAATCGTACCTTAACCGGAAATGATTTTTGAAATTACTTAATCATTCCTAAGATCATAGAAAACAATTTCGATGGAAAAATTTTTTTCTCGACAAAAAATAAAAAAAAAGAAAAGAAAGAGAGAAGAAAGAAAAAAAAGAAAAATAAAAGAAAAATGAAAATCTCTACATCATGTTTCGATCTTCCCTTCCCTCTCTGCGCTCACAAATGCGCGCGCGTACACACATACACGAGCACGGATTTCAAAGATAAATTTTGAAAATGATACTTTTCGATTTAATGTTACAAAATATTCTGATTAGATCTAATCGATGATAAAAAATCTAAACTTTAAAACGGATAGAAAATATATATATATATAAAATTCCTAATCGTAGAATACTTTTCTCTCTCTCTCTCTCTCTCTCTCTCTCTCTCTCTCTCTCTCTCCTTATATACATATCGTCCCTTCCCCAAAATAGGATGATAAATCTCGAAGGAGATGAGAAAATGATCGTCAGGGTCGTATTCGTTCATCACTTGCTACTCGTTTGAAAGGAGATAAACACGAAGTGGGAAGAGATTGGTGGGGTCGCATAACCGAGAGAGAGAGAGAGAGAGAGAGAGAGAGAGAGAGAGAGAGAGAGAGAGAGAGAGAGAGAGAGAGAGAGAGAGAGAGAGAGAGAGAGAGAGAGAGAGAGAGAGAGAGAGAGAGATAAAAGGGTGGAGGGAGGAGGGAGGAGGAAGAGGAGGAGAAGGGGAAAGATAAAGCTCACCGAACGTTAGCGTGTTATTTTATATCGGCAGTGCTTCTATAAGTGCGGTTGTGCGAGGTGAGACTCTCTTTCTCTCTCTCTCTCTCTCTCTCTCTCTCACTCTCTCTCTCTCTCTCTCTCTCTCTCTCTCTCTCTCTCTCTCTCTCTCTCTCTCTCTCTCTCCCTCTTACTCTTTTTTCCCTCCCCCTCGCTTTCTCTTTGTCACTATTTCTATCTCTGTTGTGACTTTCGAATATACTTATCAAAAATATTTTATTAATCTACTTTGTGTATCTACAGTGCATCTCTGTTTCTATTACTCTTTTACTCTCTCCTAATCTAAATTTCTTCTCTGTTATATTATCAAATTTTGTTGCCTTTTCACTCTTTCTTCCCTATCATCCAGAGGCACATTAGAATTTCAAGAACACAATCATAACAATAACAATATCAACAGCAACAACAGCAACAACGACAACAACAACAAAATCAACAGCAACAACGACAACACAGCGATAACATCAACAGCAGCAGTAACAGGACATGACAAGAGTGATTGTTGAAGTGACGAAGAAGTAAAAAAGAGAAAAAAAAAGATAAATTAAAATCAAAAAAGAAAGAAAAAGGAAGAGAAACGACAGAAAAGAGAGAGAATTAGTAAGACACAGGTACAGGTTCTCCTACAAATTTGCCTTTCCTTTTTTATTCAGTTTTATTTATTTTTTTCGGTTGTTATATCACTCCTTTGATTTTATTGAATTTAGAAAATTATTAATTAACTCAATGAACGTTTTCATTCGTTCATGTTACTTATAATTAATTAGCTATGATCAGTGACATTGATTTCTTGGACCTTTCCGCTTTGGCCTACATTTTGTTTCTTATCACTGACGTTTTCAACGATTATTTCGTCGGATGAATTGGAGAAGTGTACAACAAGCAAAACTACCGAATAAAATTTATTTAGTATCGAATGAAATTTGAATTCTGAGAAAATTTTATTGATTGACGATTAATCGGATGCTTTTAAAAAGGGAGATCATTTTTTTGTAAAGATGAGAATATCGTCGATATGATTCGACGAAAAAAAAGAAGGAAAAAAAGAAAAAAGTAAACTAAAATCATATCAAAAAACTTTAATCTCTGTTTATTATTATTTCTCACTAGCATATTTTTTAAACGATACTAGGGAGATAATAAATATAAATAGAGAAAAAAAATACAAGGAAAAAAATACAAGAAAAAAAAAAGAAAGATTATACGTTCTCCCTTTTCTTTACTTTATATATAACGATATGACAAATCTCGATTACGTAACTTCGAATGGAAAAGACGAGAGTTTCATTAATAGTACCTTACTTATATCTTTGAGAACCACTGGGGTTTTATATCTCTCGTTATATAGTCGAGTGTACATATACATGACCGTTGTAATCATACGAGTATTAAAGTTTCTTGCGGAAAGCGGAACGAATATTCTCGTGACGAATACTCGTCAATAATTTTAACCTTTCGTATATTCCTTTTTCGTTTCGTTATGCATTTATTTTTTTTCTTTTTTTCAACAATAGGCGTCATTTCACGAGTAACAATGATGGCTATTCGACGGGTTAACAGATTGATTTATTTTCCAATACGTTCGATTTTTGATTAATTCTTTTGAAATAGAAGAAGTTCATGTTAAATATTATAATATCAGTATTCTAATCTAATCTTTGTATGAGATTACGTTAGAGTACTTTGATAAATATTGTCGGGATGATACATAATTTCTTCAATATAACAGTGTGAGTGCAAGCAATGCTATATGAACATGATGAATTGTATTATATCTTTTTTTTGGTTTTATTCTTTTTATTTTAGAAGTTATGTAATTATGGTTGATCTCTAATGGTAACATAAATTTGTTATCTTTTCATTAGTTTTTTCTTCATAAGCAAATATTCTACGAGATTAACTAGTACATTGTTATGTTCCATCCACTTTTTCTTTTCTTTTTCTCTTTCATGACAAAATCATGCAATTGCGATTTATCTCTTTAATGAAGAAATAAATTTTATTTTTTCTTTATTTAGTTTAACCTTATGAATCTCATGATATTTTATATTTTATATCTAATCTCATTTTTAAATGATCGTAATATTTCGAAGAGATACACTTTGTTATTTTTGCAACTACAAAGTTTCTTAGAAAAATTATAATAAGAAAAAAAAGAAAAAGCCGATTGTTTAACGTCATCACGTTTGAAAACAAGAAATACGAAGTTAAACATGATATTTCAATCATCGGTTATATGCGAAGAGAATGACTATGCAAAATGGCGATCACGACAATATGATGTCCAAATGAGAGCACATTTTTCTGTGTCACTGTTATTCAACCAGTAAGAAAAATCGATTTTAAAATGGAAAGGACGTTCTAAAATAACGTTGATTAATCATTATGGTTAATCTGATGCAGCGATGTGATCATAGTTAATGGTTATGGCCTTCTTTTTTCTCCTTTCTCTTTTTCTTTTTCCTTTTTCTATTTCTTTTCTTTTCTTTTCCAGTCTTTCTTTGTTAATACGCTTTGATGGGTTTATTTATCGTTAGTATAATTAAAAAGACTTCATATATTAACTTTGTTCATGTTATTGGAACGACGTATTATAATGTAAGAAATATTGTTAATTTTTTGTAAAAGATATTTTTTTTGTTTTTTTATTTTACTATGGTTGTTATTGTAAAATACTAAATGCAGAAAGACCCTTAAGTCAATGATTTTCTCAAGTATCTTGGAATAATGACACAAGATTTATCTTTGTATGAATCGTTAAAGAGAAACCGGCTTCGTCTCAAGGACAACAGTCTGTTACTATAGTACTCTCTCTCTCTTTCTCTCTCTTTCTCTCTCTCTCTCTCTCTCTCTCTTTCTCCCTCTCTCTCTCTCTTTCTCTCTCTCTCTCTCTCTCTCTTTCTCTCTTTTCTTTTTTTTTTCTACATACGAATCGACGGTCATTGCGATAATCCTTGAACTTACGTTATACTCTACCTCCGTTATTATATTCATTTCACTCTCATTTTCGATTTTATAATACGCAACTGACGGTGATGGTGGAGGAAGAGAGGGCCCGGTGTCGAATGGATATTGTTTTCGTATTTTTCTTTTTCTTTTCAATTATTCAAAAAAAAAAAGATTTTCGATGGAAAGGAAAACAAGATAAGAGAAAAATATGCTTTATCTTTTATTTATTTTATGCATTTATTAATTTTATAAAGTACCATTTATAAATTCATTTAATAATCTTAAAGAAGAAAAAAGAAAAGGAAAAAAGATAAAAGAAGGATAAATGTCAAGTTAATCGAATTCGATCAGCATGTTTTCGGAACACATGATGCATATTAAACAGACAAGGTCATGAATAATACTTGAGAAGAACGAGTCGAACACGTGTTTCGTTTGTAGGAGAATGATACAATAGATATACATATATACATATATATATATATATATATATATATATATATATATATAGAGAGAGAGAGAGAGAGAGAGAGAAAAGAGAGAATTAAATTACATTCGCGTATCACATACGTTTGTCTACTTTTGTAACATATTACAACAAATCGATATATTTTTTATTTCCCCCATGTTGAATCGAATATTGTATATCCAATGTCTAATACAATTTAGTTTTTTATTAATTTTAATATTGTTTATTATGCATAATCTTAAAAATTTCTTTTTAACAACAATAAGATTTTTATGTAATATGTATTATTTAATCGGTTTATAGTCTTTGACTTTATTACTTCCGGTCTTATATCACTTCCATTTGTAATCTTACATGAACCTCGATTGATAATATTAGAAAGATGGTATCGTATTTTTGATAATGTCAATAATTTTTATTTTTTCTTGTTCATACATATATTTAGGATTTGTGCTCAAATTTCATCATTTATTAAGGTTTACACATACGCGTGCGCAAGCTTGCGGAAGTCATAAAAAAATGGACACACAGATATAAAGAGAGTGTATTAATATATAATACATTAAGAAAGAATTTTACTAATCAAGGTAATAGAAAGGAATTTTTAACTAATATAATTATAAATCGTTTGCAGATCGCGAGACTAAAAAACTAAAAAAAGAAAAAAACAAAGATGGTGCAATTGAAAGAGTTTACTATAGAAGAAGTACAGAAGACAAAGGGTACCGGAAAAGTACTAATAATTCTACACGACAAGGTCTACGATGTTACAGAATTTTTGAACGAACATCCAGGCGGTGAAGAAATTCTTATCGATCATGCGGGAAAAGATGGTACAGAAAATTTCAATGACGTCGGCCATTCTCAAGATGCTCTTGATCTAATGAATAAATATAAGATAGGCGAACTCATAGAATCACAGAGAACTAATAAGCCTTTAAAAAAAGGTTGGGTCGCCGGTTATAATAACAAACAACCAGAAAAGGAAAAATATGTTAAGGGACCAGGAGCGCCATTTTATACCCTAATCGCCGCCATTATGCTTTTAGCTGCCATTATATTTTACAATATGTCATGATTATCGTAAGATAAAAACGATAACGATTAATTAATATCATTATCATAATCATCATTATCATTATCATTATTAATATTGTGATTTAGCGTTTCATGTTTGTATAAATAAAAAGAGAATAAAATAACAAAAAAAAAAAGAAAAGAAAAATAATTTTAGCATGTTTTAGCAAAGAATTCTGCATTGTTGCGATCGAGAAAAAATCATTTTAACACACATGCACGCGCGATATGTATATACATATACACACACGACATATATATATATATATATATATATATATATATATATATATATATATATATAAACATGCAGCTATTTTAAAATCGTTTCGTATCACTTATAATCAATAATATACAAACGTATTATGTACGTACCTGTAAGTAAAAAAAGGGGTAATTTACGATGAATATGTCTAAGTATGAGTTAGTTTTTTTTTCTTTTTTGTTGTGTTCATAATTATTCTTTAAGTGTTTATAATGTTTCAAGTCATTACAAAATTGACTACTATAAATTAGATACATGCATAGGTTGTAAGAAATAAATCTATTATTATGAAAAATGGTGATTGGACAGTTTTACTGTCTTGTACAGCTAACTGTTGTTGGTAACGAATACGTTATTTATCATTTCATCCATTAAAATTACATGATAGGATGACTTCTATCTACCCTCTTTTTCTCTTTGTCAATCATCCTTATGTATATGCATACATATATATATATGTATGTATATATATATATATATGTATGTATATATATATATATATATGTACGCATATATATATACTCATATTTATACTACACATACAATATAAATGTAGTAATTCATTAGAAATAAAGAGAACAAAAACGAAACGAAGTTGAAAACGTCCAAGAGTTTAAAAAAAATCTCTTACCATGATCGATGAAATGACATATAACTAATTTGTGTGTGTATGTGTGTGTATAGTGTGAGAGAGAAAGAGAGAGAAAGAGAGAGAGAGAGAGAGAGAGAGAGAGAGAGAGAGAGAGAGAGAGAGGGGAGGAAGGGAGAGCGGGAAAAATTGGACGTATGTACGTTAACGAAGACGAACGGTCCCTCGTCGTAGCTAGCCATGTGTACAAATTTAACAACCAACAGGGAATTTCGCGAAGAAAAATGAAAGAAAAAAGAAAGAAAAAAGAAAAAAAGAAAAAAGAAAGAAGAAAAAAAACTAGTTAGAGAGAAGAATGACGAAATTGTTTCGACGATGAGAAATTCCTTTCCAGACATGTACACGGCGGAAATTTCAAATATTTCGAGGTATGAACAAATTTAAATAGAATTTTTGAATTTCCCGCCTTTTTGTATGTAAAATCATACTCAACGATATCTCTCTACATTTTTTTCTTTATCAAGTAATGATAACAATGAATAATAGCGTAATAAAAAAAATATTAAGTAAACGAAGAAGAGTAAAAGTCATTCTTTTTAGAATGAAAGTAGTATTGAAAAAAAATATATAGATATATGTATGTATATATATTTCGAATGTAAAAATTTATATAGAACTTTCTCATCTTTTTGTTAAATTTGAATATTATTACACGACGACATCTTGATTTTTCTTATCAAAATAATGTAATAAAAATAAAAAATAATCTACATAAGAAAAATTAATATAAGTGAATAAAAAAAAGGTAAAAATCATAAAATAATTATTAAGAACTTTAAACATATTGACAGAAATTATAAAAGGGTTATAAAAATCTTGACAAAAGTTACTAAAATAACAAAAAGTTATAAAAAATTTATTACTGTGTTTGAATTAGTTAAATTTTTATTTCTTTTTATTATTATCGTTATTATTATTATTATTATTATTATTATTATTATTATTATTATTATTATTATTATTATTATTATTATTATTATTATTGTTGTTGTTGTTGTTGTTGCTGTTGTTGTTTTTTATTATTGTTATTTGAACGATACTATTGCAAAAAAGGAAAAAGATTAAGTTCGAGAGATCGTTAATTAAAAAAGTGACGAAGTAGGAGGTAAGTTAACAACAAAGAGGGTTCTCTCGTCTTCGATTTCTTTCTTTATTTTTCTTTTATTTCTTCTTCTTTTTCTCTTTTCTTCTCTATCTTTGAAATAAAAAGAAATGTAGAATAAAGGAAAAGTTAAAGTGTCTCGAATAGTAGTATTGCATTTCTCTCTACTTTCGGATCGATCTGAAGTATACTTCTTCTACTTCTGTTTACCATCTGAAACCCTTTAATTTTATCCGTTCATTTATAAATTGGAATGCCTTTATCGACAATGGCAAAATTACGAGGATTAGGCCGTAAGTTTTTAGGTGATTTAAAAAAATCAATTATTCTTTATCGAGATATTTTAAGCTTGTAGTTTTAATAATCCTGGGAAAAAAGCATAAACGGAAAAAAATATTAGCCTAAAAAGACAGGAAAAAGAGTATCGAATTGATTTTTAAAATTATCTTGTAACTTTTGACCTTCATCCTGTATACATACATACATATATATATATACTACGTCTCTACTACGTTTTGATAAATGTTCTATCTATAATGATCGAATATGGAATGTTGACAAACTACATACGAGTATATATTATATACTATACCCACACACATATACACACAGTTATACATACATACATACATATTATATATATACATATATATATATAATACCATATATATATGTAATACCAATAATAATATAAATGTGTGTGTATGCACACTGTAGCTGTATTATTATACAGCTATGTACGACAAAAATGGCTTTATAATTCGTTCTATTATTGTTTCGATCGATAGTATGTAATCGATAAACACTACATATATGTATAATGTCTAATGTTATGTTTATTCTATATACAAGGGAGAAAGAGTGAGAAAGGAAAATACATATAGGGAAAAAAATATGTATATTATTTTGGTCAACATAAAATCCATTAAAAAAAGGATAATTAAGGACTACCGATCATTTATTATTATTTTTTTATTATCCTCTTAAATACCGTTTGGTATCGCTAAAAAAAAAGTTTATGAAATTCAATGATTCTACAATTGACTGAAATATACGGAAAATTAATTTAAATTTCAAGATAATGTATTCATTCCAACGAATTCGATTTATAATCTATCGAGCTTTATATTTTTTATAGCCTGACAAATTGTAACCGAACTGTTACGAAAATTGTTATGTCCTAAGTAAAATATATATTCCAATGTATAAATTTAAGATTTAGACAAATAATTATTCAAAGAGCTAATGCAACTAGTGACTAAGAACTTCATAGTGACTAAGAAACGTACAATAATTTTGAAATTGCGTAATTTTATACGAAAAATTTCGATATCTTGCTAAAAAATTAATGTTTTGATTGTTCTGATTATAGGTGTCTTGATATATCAACAAACGAATCGATTTATATGGTCATATCATTGGACTCGTATCATTATCCTCTCTTCCAAAAACTGATCGAATTGAACGAAATAAAACCATCTCATCGTCAATAGAATTTAGGCATGTATCACGTCAATTAATTGTCTTATTAAATATAAACGAGAATAATTTATACAAGATTAGACGTGTTCTCGGTTGAATTATGTAATTTCAATTTCTAATTAGAAATCTAAACAATTCTTGATACTTAGACTATTCCTAATATTGCTAATACTTTTCCAAGACGTACAACAAATTGAAACGATGAAAAAAATGTTTTTTTTTTCTTTTTTAGATTTGAAATTGGAACATTTAAAATGATTTACTTGTACAATGTCACAAGGGTAACATATCGATAAAATAATTACAAATAATATTGATCTTTTTTGTCAGATTATCGTAAATTCCTTAAAGTTCATGGACGTGTGGATCACCATGTATTTATATCGATTTATTTTCTTTTTTCTAAAAACGGATAAGATATCTCATTTTTGTATTATATCGATTCAACTATACTGATTTTTTATTTTTTATTTATAAAAGAAGAAAAAAAGTAAATTCTGTTTTCGTATTAATTAATGAGTCACGGAGTATTCAAGTTCGTCCTGTCTCATAGAGAACAGGAAGTGAATATGGAAAGCATATGGTATCCGAAGGACAGGAAGGATATGTGGTTTTCCACATGTGTCACGCACTCGACCGCATCGGTAAACCGCATCCACCCACGCGGAAAGGAAAACGCAAGGAGAGTGAGTTGCACGCGACTCGGCTCGTTCAAACGCGAAGCCCTAAAAGAGGAGTATCTCTTCGAGTCCTTTTATTTTTTGTCGTCCTTATTTTGTCATCGTTATTAATAAAATAAAAAAAAAAGGACAATGATATATAATAAAAATAAATAAATATATAAAGAAGTAAAATAAAAAATCAAGATATTTAATTCAGAAAAAAGAAATTACATACAAACATAAGTATATGCGCATATATACATATGTGTGTGTGTGTATTGTATGTATGTATGTATGTATGTATGTATATTTCTTTTTATTAAAAAAAAATCAGAACAGCAATTTAATAATTATAATAAAAAAAAATATTGTTTTCCATTTATTCATTATTTCTTTTTTTTGTACTTTTTTATTTTTTACATAACATTTCTTATCAAAAGTATGACTTGACCGATAAGTCAAAATCATCTAAGCTAATAGATATATAATTAAAATTCCGTAAATTTCGAGGTCACTAGATAAGAAAAAAGTGAATTTAAACACGTAAGATACATTTTTATGAGAAAATAAAAGAAAACGAAGCTATGGGTATTATGAATCGGGACGTTTTAATATACGAATCGTGTTCATTAGACAAGAACAGATAATAAAATAAACTGTTCATCTTAAAATTAAGTGACTTTGATTGAACGAAAATGGGAAGGTATAAATATCCATATCTATTGTCTCGTAAACGAAAAGAAAAAAAACGCGCGCGCGCGCGCGCACGCGAGAGAGAGAGAGAGCAGAGCGCACATTTATTTGTTTAAAAAATAAATATTATATAAAATATTCAGAACATGAGAGATACGATTATATATGTCCTAAATTTATACGTTAGAAAATTATCATAGATAAATTTTTCTGAATTATTTAGGATTATCGTTAAATGTGAATGAACAGGTAATACCACGGGTAATAACTTTCTAATGTATAAGTCTTGGCCATAAATATGTTAATACTTTT